GGGCGCGTACCTCGGTTGCAGTTTGTCCCCGGCCCTGGTTGGTCGTGCGGGTGGCAGCCGCTCGATGTGTCCCTTCACATCGATGTTTCTCTCTTCTCTCTCTGTCCCTCTCTCTCCCTCCCACTCTACCTGAACAAAAAATGGAAAAATGTCCTCGGGTGAGGATAAAACAAAAAAAAAGAAATGATGAAATGGTATCCTTGCCTACCAATGCCACCCAACAGATAATCATTGTTTGTTTTTATTGATTTTAGAGAGAGACAGAAACATCGATGAGAGAGAACATCAACTGGCCGCCTCCTGCATGCCCCACACTGGGGATCTGGCCCACAACCTGGGCATGTGCCCTGACCAGGAATCGAACCGGCAACCTCTTGGTGCATGGGTCGACACTCAACCATTGAGCCACACCAGCTGGGCATTCTTTGTATTTTTAAATGTATCCTTCTAGGGTTTCTTTGGACATACACAAAGTAAATACAAGCATAAGTTCTTCTTTCTTTTTTGTTTTTTGTTTTTGACTCTGTACACTCTCTCAGCTGATGCTGCTTTTCACGTCTGTACAGAGAGCTCTTCTCTCTACAGCCGTACTGCTTCTTCCTTTGCAATACCTACTGGAGTTTTCTCTTGAATGGATGTACTGAGAGTATTTAACCAGGACCTTCCTAATGGCGTGTGGCTGGTTTCCAAACATTTGCTGAGACCTCGCTGCAGGGACTCACCTCGTACATTTGTTATTTCACACGTGTGTGAATGGAGGGTCAGCATCAGCTCTTAGATGTGATGTTTCTGGACAGAAGAATGTATTCTTTTCTTGACTTTCAGTCAATAACGCTGAAATGTCAGCCCTTCATCAGGGCTGAATTAATTGACACTGAAAACAGCATTGTCTGAACGTGTGCCTGTGTCTCTTTCTGGCTCCCAGAGGAATGCTTCCAAACATGTGGCCGTTTTCGGTCTCAATCTTTCTTATCGTAACTTCTGGGTTTTTAGTCCGTTGCAAAAGGCTTCTTGATCCAAAATTATAGAAGACTTTTCCCATGTTTTCTTCTAGTATTGTTACTCATTTGGATTTTATCCTATTTTATGATTGACTAATGACAAGTTAAATTTTTTTTCAGATGGTCACCTGTTGTCCTGACATCATTTATTTAAAAGTCCTTCTTCGCTTTGATAGATGTGAAGTGTTACCTTTATGATACGCTACATTCCCATATGTCTTTGGGTAAACTGTGTTGTATATGGATGATGACGAAAATGGGAACAATATATAGCAGGGAAAAGGAATAGAGGCAAAGGAAATTAAAATAGAAAAACCTTTGGCGAGAAGATGATATTGCCCTAGCCAGTTTGGCTCAGCGGTTAGAGCATCGGCCTGCAGTCCAGAGAAGATGATATTTAAGTAAACACCTGGAGGAAGGGGGATGACTGAGGCAATGCAGTGTGGTGCTTTAAACAAGCTTATAGGCCCGGCCGGTGTGGCTCAGTGGATGGAGCGCCGTCCCATGGACTGAGAGGTCCCGGTTCGATTCCCGGTCAGGACACATGCCCAGGTTGCAGGCTCAATCCCCAATAGGGGGCGTGCAGGAGGCAGCCAATCAATGTATCTCTCTCACATCGATGTTTCTATCTCTCTCTCTCCCTTCCCCTCTAAAAAAACCAATGAAAACATATTTCATAAAATAAAATAAACAAACTTTTTGGCCCTGGGTAGAGTCAACCTTGATACACCAAGGTTGCAGGTTTGATCCCCAGTCAAATCACATACAGGAATCAACCATCAACCGGTGAATTCATAAATAAGTGGAACAACAAACTCATATCTCCCTCTCTCCCCCCCGCCAGTCAATGAAAAAGCTTTTTGCCCCTGAAATCATTTGAGTGTGGGGTCACATCCCAGCTCTACTCTGTGACCACAGACAAGTTGTTCGTTCTTCTCATGCATCAGTTTATTCATCAGTAAATACGAAATTACAAATAGTACATACTGCATGGGGTCGTTCTAAGCATTAAATGAGATGTTTCACTAGCTTGGCATTGAGCCTGACACATGAAGATGGGCCATGTTTCTTATCGTCATGGACACTTTTCCTTCTCATTACGCGTTCCTAGAACAATCATGGCTGCAGAATACTGCACCGCGTGCGCATAGGTAACCCTCACACGTTCACACCACGCGCTGCCTGATCTCCCTATTCCAGACTTTCTCGTGGGTCTTCGTCCTTACCCTTCCAGCCCTGCCCTAGAATGCTTTTTTTTTTTTTACTTTTTAACCTTGAAATGAGGGTTGATTCACATAGTTGGTGCCTGGCTGATGCAGGGCAGTTCTGTTCGGAAGCTCTGTGCTGTTAGACGACACTTTGGCTGAGAGAGGCGGCTTTTTGAGAGAATTCTTTCCGGTCAGTGTCCGTGGGCATTTTCAGGTTGCCAGCCTCTTCCTTCCAAGTCCCTGCACCTGGGGAGTCAGGAACGGGAGAGCATCTTCAGGCGGCTGGGCAAGTGCCCCAGGGAGGCTGGAGGGCTCCTCTCTTCCTGAGCTCTGGGGCGCCCTGTCCCCCCAGCCAGAGTTCCTTTCTTCAGTGAAGAAGTCCTAGGGTCCCCTCACCCTCATTCAGAGGAGACCCACTGTGGCAGCTTCTCCCTGACGCCAGCCTTGTCCATGCAGACCCGACCTGGTCCATGAGGATCACCTGACGTTCTACCAGCTCATTTCCTTTTCAGTTGACTTTGCTGCATTCCGTGTTATTTCCGAGAAGCTCAGTACATGCTCCTTTGTGTTTAGTCCTGGGAAGCAGGGTGACCTAGACGTAGACCCTTCCATTCCCTGTGAGCACTCGGGCCCCAGCCCATGAGCTGTGAGACCAGAGAGGCCCAGAGAGCTGACCCAGCCTCAGGGTCCGAACCTTCCAGAACAGTTGTCTCCCCTGCACCCCCCACACACAGCCTCTTAAAGAAGCCCGTTCCCTCGTCTTCTTCAGTTTCTCCCTCTCAGTCTGCATTGCCTGAGTCGTGTGTTACGTTGATTGGTTTATTTGTATTTGGGGGGAGTCAGCGACTCAGCTCTCCCTCACTTCACCCCCCTCTAGGTCAAGCCCCCACGGTTAACCCACAGCCCAGCACGGGGCTGCCTACCTTGGACGTGTTTTGTGTACCACCTACCACCCCTGCCAATGAACCGAACAGCCCTGCAGACCCCCAGTCGTCCCCTAGGGGACCTTCCAAGTGAAATCTTCCTTTTACGTGTAAGAATATTTATAAAGTTGTAAAATGTGCATACTCTGGACCCAGAAGTTTCACTGCTGGGACCTTACCCAAAGGGAATATAGATACACATGACGGATTCAAACACGGTTATAGCATCCTAGAAGTGAAGCCTTCAGCACCGTAGATTCCCATCCATAGGGGTATTAGGCAGTGAATAGTGTCACAACCGAACAACAGAGGACCCCGTGCGACGTGAAGAATGGCGCAGACCCAGGGTCTTGCGAACTGCACTCTTGTGCTCCGTGGGAAAATGAGCTGATACAGTAGCACCACCCACGTACATCACGTTTACTTCCTTCCAGTCGTCTGTGAAGGAGTCAAATGGCCCCTCTTGAGTGGATGCCCGCCGTGGGCCTCCCTGCCCCGGGTACTAAAGAGGCAGCAGCGAGCACACTGATGTAAACCCCGCCTTCGTCAAACCTTCAGGGGGGGGGCAGAAAGGGGCAGATTCTGAGCAAATAAAGAAACATGTTGTAACAGCAAAGACGGGACAGGGCAAGGGGCATCTTAGAAAGGACAGGGAGCCCTGGCCCGTTTGGCTCAGCGGTTAGAGTGTCGGTCCACAGATCCAAGGGTCTCGAATTCAGTCCCGGTCCAGGGCACGTAGCTCAGTTGTGGTTCAGTCCCCAGCCCTGGCTGGGGTCGTGTGGGAGGCAGCCAGTCAATGTGTCTCTCTCACATCGATGTTTCTCTCTCTCTCTCCCTCTCTGTCTCCCTCCCTCCCTCCCGCTCTGTCTGAAGATAAAAGGAAAGATACCCTCCGGTGAGGATTTAAAAAAAAAAAAAAAAAAAGTCCAGAGAGGCAGGGGGAGGTGAGGACGTGAAGGATGGACAGAAATTACTCAGGCACAGGGGGGAGAACGTTGCAGACAGAAAGCCTTGCGGTGGAGCTAGCTTTCAGTCTGTTCGAGAGACTCCGAGCAACGGGGCCGGAGAGAGTGGAGGGAGGAGAGAGCTGCACAGAGGCCGGACAGGTGGACGTGGGCCGGACTGGGCACGGATGGGCGACTGACGCCACAGGCCATAGGAAGCCTTTGGGGGGCGGGAAGGCGCGGGAGGGTGAGGTCTGCTGAGTCAACAGTGGGTGAGAGTGGCCAAGAATTCAAGCAGACAGGGGGGCGGGGCCCTTGCAGTCGTGGGGTGGAGAGATGGCCGCGGCTTGACCCAGGGACCTAGGAGCGCCTGGGACAGGAAAATAGAGTCGGAATGCATCCTACCCCCGGCGGAGTTAAAGGAGAAACTCAGTCCCCATATCGCTTTCCTGGCACCACTGAACAGCCAGATCCTGACAACATCATCATTCTTCTCAAATATAAGCACTTTTTTTAGTCGACAGGATTCATCATTGTGTAGCCTGTGAGAACTCAAACAGACGCGTCTCTGGGGATCATTGCACTGGGAGACCGCAGAGCCGGAGAGCATGGGCATCGCACCCAACCTCTTGGCGGGACTGGGAGAAAGGGTTCTTGTCTGGACTGCAGCGAGCAGGGCTGTGTTTGTGGCCTCGGCTCCAAACAATGTCCCTCCAGCTAACTGCAAATGCTGAGGATGTGAGAAAGAGGGGGAGGGGAAGGAAGAGGGACTCTCATAAGCTCCTGATTGTTCTACACACCCGTGGGCAGATGAAGTATGGCTGGAATTAGGGGGCAAGGCAGAAAGGGGTGCGGAGCAGAAATCTGACTTGGAGAGTCCACATTCAACAAGTTGCAACTGTGAAAACTCTGCTTTGCTCCTAGGGCATAGTTGAAGGCAAAGACGAAGGACAGGAAATCACACCTGCGAGTTGCTCTCTCCCGGGGGACCCCAAAGAGCTGGAGGTTGCCAAGGAGGGCCCCCAGACAGGAGATATAACTGAGGATAACAATTCCATCATGAGCTTCTTTAAAACACTGGTAAGTTCGTTCCTTCCTTTCCCCTCAATTCTATTGCTCAAAAGTTTTGTTGTGCTAAGAATGATACACTTTGGAGTGTCATTGTTCTGAACGATGCAGCTGGGATACTGGAGAACAGCGACAAGATGTGTTTTTGCAAGGAAACTGGGTTCTGCCAGGCTTTCGATGCGGGAGGCTTCAGAAATGGGGACCACGGGTGCCCAAACTCCATAACGTGAGCTATGTCGTAATGGAACTCAGTTGCAGTTGGGTGGCCATGGATCATGAAAATTACTGGAGAATACGTCCTTGGGTTATTAACCCACTAAAGCAGTGTTGACATTCACGGGGCAAATAAAGCTGTAGAAACCACTTTCCGTGTTGTTCCAGCTCAGTCTACCATTTACCCTGGATGGAGGCAGGGACCCCTGTGTCGCATTGCTTGCTCATCTCTGACCTCCAGGGCAGAGCCCACGGCCTGCCACATGCCAGATACTCAGAAAAGGGCTGGGAATGAAGTGTCATTAAGCAGACAGCTCCAAGTGTGTTTGGGCTATTTCCAAAGGCCAAGACTAACCAGAAGAATCACCCCCCAAAAAAACAATAAGGTCGCCACAAACACCAAAGGGTTGTGCATGCATTTGGATTTGTGGCAGAATCGGATGGAAAGTCTGTGGCATTCCACGCATCCATTTTTTTTCCTTCATTGATTTTATTTTTTTTATTTTTTTTTTTTTATCCTCACCTGAGGACATTTTTCCATTTTTTGTTCAGCTAGAGCGGGAGGGAGAGAGAGGAAGAGACAGAGAGAGAAACATCGATGTGAAGGGACACATCGAGTGGCTGCCACCCACACGACCAACCAGGGCCGGGGACAAACTGCAACCGAGGTACGTGCCCTTAGTGGGAACCGAACCCGGGTCTCTCTGTACCGCAGGCGGACGCTCCAACCGCTGAGCCAAACCGGTCAGGGCTCCTTCATTGATTTTAAAAAGAAAGGAAGGGAGAAGGAGAGAGAGATAGAAACCTCAATGAGAGAGAACATCGATTGGCCGCCTCCAGCACACCCCCCACTGGGGATTTGGCCCACAACCTGGGCATGTGCCCTGACCGGGAATCGAACCAGTGACCTCTTGATGCCTGGGTTGACACTCAACCACTGAGCCACACCAGCCAGGCCAGGCATCAGTTTTGTTATTGTGGTCAAACTCTTGGGGAATGTATGAGATCTGACGCATTTTATTATAAAACATTCATTTTTGTTCACTTGGCATACCTAGGTATACCAGAAGTCTCTGGGTTTCTACTAGACTGAAGGACTTCTGATTACATTCTTTATCTATATAGTGTACTGAGCAGACCTAAACACTGTGTGTGTATAAAATAAAAATCACCCTAAAGAGTTATAAGTTTTAACAGTTGGTTTTCTCAAACTTTTAAGGTTTCGCCTAACAAAGCTGAAACAAAAAAAGACCTGGAAGATACGGTAGGTAGTTTGAAGTGTGTTTGGATTTGTGTGTAGAATTGGGTTCGAATCGGTGTCTGCTTCTTTGTTTCTGGAATTTGTGGGTATGTGTGTGTGTGTGTGCACGTGTGTGCATACGCACATATATACATATTTAGCAATTTAATAGCTCTGTTAGATTAAATTTTTCACTTATGTTGATGGCATTTTAAGAAAAATTTTTGTGGGAAACTTGAAATGCATGCCAAATCTGACTAAATAATGTCACAATAACTTATTTCTTAGGTAGAATAAGAACAGAATACTGATAATTATCTTAGTCTTTTGAAATGTAGCAAGACCCAGGGAATATAGTAAAAATTACCTCATGGCCATGAGGAAGGGGTGAGACTCAATTTAAAACAGAAGTAAAGGCTGCTGTATCTTTGGTCTCTAAAAAAATATGCTCTTTGTTTTTCATGTCCTTTGAAAAAATAAATCCCACTGCACCGGCAATTATTTGATGAAATAAGAGTCACCAGCGGACGCCCCCACTGCAGAAGCCTGGACAGCAGTAGGGATGCCCTAGGGAACCTGGGTATTTTCCACTCTCATACTGGAAATTCAGCCAGTTCCCCTCAAAATAAATTTTATTTAGAATGACTACTTGCTAGAGATGTTTTCCCTTCATAATGGACAGGCCTGATTATCTCTGGTGGACCACGTGGTCTCATACTCACAGACCCCCGAGGAAAGTTTAGCCTGGTGACAGCTAAGGGTCTTGCATCCTTCCTTTGTTAACTGAAAGTGCTTTGAAAGACACTGGGACCCAATAAATAGCTTGGCCAGCCCGACACATCTGCTACCTGTATTTGAAGGAGCTAAGTTATGAAAAGGATCCTAGAATTTGTCTCAGAAGACCTACATCTCAGCTCTGGTCCTGCTACTCCATAGCTGTGTGACCCTAACCTGTCTGAACCCAGATCTCCACATCTGTAAAATGGGGACAGCAAACATTCTATCTCCCCAGCCCAGGAATGAGTGAACACTTGACAATGCCTGGTCACCATGGAGCTCTACTCAGATGTAGGGGACCCCCCGTTCCATGATCACTGGAAGGCAGAGAACACTGTGATTACATTGGTCTGGTATTGGCTGGGTCCTCCAGAATTGTTTTTCTTTTATTGAAAGAGCAGATACCTGAGACATCTACATGTGTTTTCCTATAAAATTCTTCTTTGGCTATAAGGCAGCCAGGGTCAAGTTCAATGAATGTTTGGGTCTGTGTTTTGCATTGAGGTCACCTACACAATGTGTTCTAAATAGCGGGGTGTGTGGGTGTGTTTTGTGGCTTCAGTGGCCTGATGTTCAGATGGCCTTTCAGCTGCTCACACACCACGACGCATCCTCCACACAGAATGTGGTCCCAGCTGAACAGGCCTAGTTGATAAAATCTCACTGTCCTGCCCAAACAGTTGTGGGGTCCCTACTGGTGGAGCCAGGTCTCAAAAGAGGGTTTTGTGAATGTAGGTTGTCCGTGACACCCACCAACAGACTCTTTCTACAACCCTGGTTCTCAGACCTTGCCTTTTGAACACCTTTTCCACTGAAGTTCTTGGAATCATACTTTTGAAATGTCTATGCCATTGGTCCATCTTGCCATTTGGCCCTGGGAGGTGTTTCGCACACTACACAGCCTACCAAAAATGGGCTGCCGTTTGTAACTTGAGTCAACAATTCTGAATGGACGTAGCTGGGCTATTCAGTTCTAATGTCTCCCTACTTTGGCTCGGTGGGCTGGCTCATACTAGAAACGTCTTTTGCCTGGGAGATCTGCCCATCTAGAAGTCGGCTAACATTTTTGTGGGTGATACTGTGTCGCTGATACTGAATACAAGGAGATTCGTTTGGGAATGAAAGTCACTTAGTAGCAGTATTTGCCTTGATGCTAGGATGCAAAAATCAATCATTTGCCTTCAAATCATTTTTTTTTTTCTTTCCCATGGGACAGTACCATTTAGATATCTAAAACCATCAAGTAGGGACTGTATTATCTTTTTGACTTTGAAGATTTTTTTCCATCTGGATATTGTATGTCATGTGGACAAAGTTGAAATGTCCCATCATTGTCTTTAGCGAAAGGAGCTGTTCATTGGGGTCATTTCACCAGGTCGCCCTGTTGAAAATCCGTATGCACCTGACATGGACCATGCCCTTTGGCAAATCATCTGTAAGAGTTTCAAGGAGACAGACAGTCACATGGCGTCTTGGGGTTGGGGGATGGAGGTCACACACCAGCGGTTACTTGTCGAGGTGTTTTAATGAACTTAAAAACAATGAGGAGAAATGGTTTTGTTTCAAACGAAGTTCTAAACGGTGACCGCTGTTGCCCAAAGGCACGCAAAGCAGAAAGTGTCTCCGACGGGCAAGCTGGGCAGAAGATGTCCGAGACCCCTGTGAAGGGCGCCAAGAAAAAACACCTGCATAGCCCCCGGCTAGGGCTCACCTTTAGAAAGTTCTTTAGGCATAAGGTCTGTATTTGGTCAAACTAAAAGCGGGGACAGAACCCTGGTCTTCACCATTTCGTACCCACCCAGCTCCGCTCCAGTGAAGACGGAGCCTTGGGTGGTTGGGGTCAGGAAAGGGAGCATCAAGACTCTGTGAATCGAATTTCAGTTAAATTTTTTTAAAGTCTCCAGAGCTGTAACCATCTCAGATTAGTCTCTTCCTAGTGTGGACCAGGGTTCGGAAATTATTCTTCTAACCCAGTATTTCCCAAATGTTGAAAGTGTGCATGCCACGTTCATCTCTGTTATCATATATACTATTATCTACTTGATTTCATATTGAAGTTGACCCAATTCCGACCCAAATACCTTTAGAGAAAGGTAACTATTAATATGGCTAATTTAAAAAGATGCCACAAAAATAAATATATATATATATATCAAATACATCAGGTCTTGTTTGTGTTAAGCTCTGAGTCTCACACCCTTTCTAGCTGCATTGAAAGGCAATTAATTAGCCGACAGTCGAGAAATGTTCAAGACGTAACAGCAGCAGACCAAGAATTTTCGGTTCTCATACCTCGAGTGTCATTTCGTGTCATATCTCTGTGCAATGTCAGATCATCTCTGATAACCATCAACGGCATGCTTTCTACACTTTGGGAAATGCTCGTCTAACCTCAAAGATAACAGTTTGATCTTTCTGTGATCTGTTCCATCCACGCCAGCACTGACTAAGCTTATACTGAACCCACATAAAGGCCCCGGTGGGACGAAACAGTGAATGGGCAGAACGAGTCTATCTCCATGACCTCGTTTGGGGAGATTTCACTCTTCCAATGACTCGGGTGACACCAGTGTTTGTCTGCAACCATCCATTAAAAAGACCCTTGAATTGAGTCAGCAGACTTGGAAATTTGTCTAAAATATCAAGCATTCTCCACTCGATTGAATGAACTTATTAAAAAAATTGCCCCAGCTGGATGTGATAGTCCCAGGATTGTATATGCAAATAAAAGCCCCATAGAAAATTCTCATTGCTGATTCTATATTTGCATAAATGCGTTAGGAAGCCACCCTTCAATGTCCATACAGGCTTCTTTTGTTCCGTAAAGAGAGAAAGGGGTGAGTGATGGATATTGCCATGGCAGGGGGACGTTAAAAAGTAGTGGTACTGTGTGTGGTGTGGGGAGACCATTTGGTAACAGTTAGTGAGACAGCATAGATCTCGTACGAAGGACTGGAGCCGAGCCCCCTCTCGGAGCCGAGCCCTCCCTTGGAGCCTCGGCGGGTAGGGGCCTTGGAAACGTAAGATAACCACCCCCAGCCCCAGATCTGCATTTCCTGACGACATTCATGCCATATCCAGACTCTCTCCCCACACCCTCAGCGGACCCCTCGAGTCTAGTATTCCTAAGACTTCGCCGAATCATCGGCCTCACATCCTGCCACTGGGTTGCAAGTTGGGGCAGGCCAGGATTCTGACCACTGGAAGGTGGAGAGCAGGTGTCCCTTTCTGGGATTCTGTAATTCACCTGCAGGGACTTTCGGGTTTCGCCTTGAGCTACACTCAGTCTGTTTTTTATGTAAAAGTTGAATAAGGGGACGATTCCCAAATGTTATTCATCCTCATTTATGCAGCGGTTTGGTAGATCTCTTTGGCTCTTGCCTCAATGCATAGGACAGTTTATTTATTTTCTTCATTTGATGATCCTGTTTTCCAGAAAGATCGGAAAGTAGGGCCATTGAAATTGACCAACCAGATTCTATCAATGAACCTTGTGGTTGATTATAGGAGGTGTGGTTAAAATCATTCTTCTTGAATTTATTGTAACCTAGGGCAGAAAAGTAGAAATCCAAGCAAATTCAAGGATGGAATATTATCTTCTAGTTTTGCTGTAAAAAGACAAACAACAAACAAAACAGATGCTCAGTGGTTAGCGCGTTGGCCCATGGACCAAAGAGTCATGGCTTCAATTCCGGTCAAGGGCACGTACCTTGGTTGCGATTAGATCCCGGGCCCTTGTCAAGGTTGTACAAGAAGCAACCAATCAATGTGTCTCTCTCGGATTGATGTTTCTCTCTCTCTCTCCGCTTCCCTCCCTTGCTCCTACCCTCTCTGAAAATCAATGGAAAAATACCCTCAGGTGAGGATTAAAAATAATAATAATAATAAATAAAATATAAAAATAAAAATACAATGGTTACCAATTCTGGCTAATGCCTAGGTTCATTTCTCTAGGTCTCAATTTTCCTTCCTATAAAAAGACTATTAGTAGAGTAAAAAAAAAAAAAAAAAGTAGAGAAGCCTGGAATTAATAAATGAAATAAGTTTATTTTTATAAAAAAATAAGGGCATCGGCTTTCCTTCAGGCTGGATCGGAACCTTTTTTCTTGGTTTCATCACAGACAATGCCTCGGGGTCAAACCTTTTCACGCGCCCTCCACGTGCACACAAGGCCGTGGCCACGTGCACACAGGCCCGGCATGGTGTCCGAGTGTTTTTGCCGAGCCGGGAAATGCTCCTCTCCCCACTCAGGTTTCCCCGAGGGGCTACCCTCACTCCCATTTCTAAGGAAGGGGTTGGGATGAGCCAAGCAGCGGTCCTGCCGATGTCATCACAGCAGAAGCTGGGTTGCTTCATGACCCCGTGCTGTTTTGATCGAAAATCTGGTGCTTGGTGACCCACACTGTAGCAGCTGTGGGATCTGTCCAGCTCCTGGCTGCCCGGTCACTGTGCTCAGCCCATTCAGCCAAAGCCACTTGAGGGTTACAAAAACAAAAGCCGTCCGGATTCTGAAGTTCTAGAATTTCTCCTTCCTCGTATCCAAAAAGCCCAGAACACCTAGCGTATGGCTTCAAACAGTCAACTTCGTGTGCTTTGCAAACATCCTTGGAGAGAGTGTGCTGTATGGAAAGACCAGCGGCGAGGAACCCAAGTCCTGCCTGAGGCCAGGCTGCGGGCCCCTAATAAACACCGGCAGATCGTGGGCCTCGGTTTCCCTGTCTGTGAACACTCAGGCATTGGCCCAGATGGTCTCTAAGACTCTGTCCGGTGTCAAAAATGCTCTGAGACTTCCTGAATTTTCCACACCCCAGTTTTACTGCCGGATTTTTTTTTTTCCTTTTAGTCAAAGATCGGACATCCCCGGGATTGAAAGGGTTTGTGTCACAAACTCCAGGAGCAAAATTCACAAAACGAAGATGCTTAAGATAAAGAGGTTAGGTCAGACGGGCCGGGTGTTAAAACTGGTGATGCCAATGTTCAATCATGTCGAGAAAAATGGAGATGGTCTTTCTCCTAACTCTTCCTTCATCCGATGACTCCGGAGGAGGCAGCGCATGGGAAATGACAGCCCTGCCACCAAGGAAGTCAGATGTCCTGGGACTAGACCTCAGCTGGCCACTTAGAAGGGAGGAGAGAGGAACAGGGGAGGGGGAGGGGAGAGAGAGAGAGAAAATAGGGGTCAAATAAAGAACACTGAGTTTTAAGTCAATTACAATCAATTCAATTTCATCCAAACGTGAAGAAATAGGATCTGTGGGTACTCTTCCCACTCAAGATGGTTCCACTGAGCTCCAATCTGTCTCATCCTTACTTACAGGCCGGATCCCTGATCTCCAAAGAGGAGAACTTCTATTTTAAACCCTGTTTATTTTAACCCTTCTTTCTTTTCAAACCTGAGTCAGTCAAACAATACATCCCCATGCAGACATGCATGTATCGGAGGGGCATGTTCAAAACGTTCCTACTGATGGAAACACCATCGAAATCGTCTGAAGACCAGTGGCCTCGGTACTAAATACCATTCTAACAGCAACTGCCTCTTCCGATCCCCTTGCTTCCTAATGAGTTACTTACAAAAACATGACAAATAACAGTCCCATAGATTTTTTTCTTCCAAAAGGAAAGTATCTTGACTTTTTCCAAGATTTTAACACAAATCCACATTCATAGTAGCACCTTTGGAAACTATGAAAAGGGAGGAGGGGGAAAATTAACATGCATGACCCCAGCCCATGTTTATAAAAGGGAGAAGGAGGAAAATTAACATGCATGTCCCCAGCCCATGTTTATAAAAGGGAGAAGGAGGAAAATTAACATGCATGACCCCAGCCCATGTTTATAAAAGGGAGAATCTTTCCCTTTTGGAGCCTGGAGATCATTTGAATGTTTTTTTAACACTACAGGGTGCTGAAAAGTCACCCACCACCTCAACAGACCTCAAGTCGGACAAAGCCACCTTTGTACCCCAGGAGACCCAAGGGGCAGCCAAGAATCCTACACCCACAGAAACAGCAAAGGAGGGTGCCAAGCAGAAGGGGGGACCCTCCTCTCTGCCTCTGAGCAAACTGTTCTGGAAAAAGGTAAGTCCTATTCTCAAGGTGTGGGAAGTACCTGGGGCCAGGATGATTTGAGAAATGACTTCTAGTAGGCCAATCAATGATTAACTCCAACAGTGTTTGGAGTTTCTCTTTCTTCCCTCAAATGACTCAATTAGCCACTGAGTTGAGGACTTACTGACTTACTCCAGGGAAGCATGAAACGCCTATCAGGGTGTAAACATGTGTTTCGTGGGAAAGGAAGGGAAATGAACAAATAGAATTTTTCATTCTTGGAATCACTCCGGTTCATGACTGAGGGTTGTGGTATTTCGTGATTTCATTTTCCTTCAAAAATCATTGATTGTTGATCCCCCCTGGTTTCCTCTGTGCGCTCTCACCGTGGCGAGGGGAACCACCGCTGGGCTCCCTGTCTCCCCAGCCAGAGACAATCCGTCATTAGAAGGACCCGGTTTCACGGTCCTCTTTGAAAAAGCAGGTGTCCACCAGCTTCCCACCAGGGCCAGCTCACAACGTGCTCTATGGTAGGAAAGTTCAAACCACAGTCTGATTTTTTTGTTTCCTCTCTAAGGAGCAAGGAAGTGGTTTGGGTAGGGCTGAGTAATCTGAGACCTACGCTTGGTCCTCGCTGCTGAGTACACCCCAGCTGCCGTGCGCTCCCAAGTCTGGCCTGTTCTCAGTGTGGCTAAAAGATGAGCAAGACGTGGTGGGTGAGGCAGGCAGCGGGGTGTGATTCACAGAGCTGGGGGAATCGAATGTCATTTCATCCACATCCATGCCACTTGGCACACAAGTCCGGGCTGGTGATAAAATACAGGCGCCACTGGGAAGCTAGTTTTATTCCCTTGTCCAGAATCCGGCTGGATCTCTGGATACCTTCCCCGAGTGTTTTCCTCGCGTGTGGAATTCTCCCTTCTAGGTTCCGCCCGGAAACAAACTCCAGGGGTAACTGGAGACTTCAGGTGATGTCATCTGGTGTTCGGTCCGAGCCTCTTCCCTCACCAAACAAAGATGACTTACGTTCTAAAGTCTTTTATCAGCAGTAGAATGTAGGGGACAGTTTTCCAGTGAGTGACATCATAGATGGGTGGCAAAGGGAGAGGACCCTGGTGACTCCTAACAGTTTTATTTTTATTTAACTATCTATCAATGTAAAGGGTATTAGGGAAAACAGAACAGGTACCTTAAATTTGGTTTAACAGATATTTCGTGCAAGGTGAGATCAGTAAAACGTAACCCCATTAGAAAGAAAGTCTTACATACATTACGGTACTGATGGTAAATCAATAATGGTCCATTTGGGTCCTCCCGGAAGCAGACACCGAGACGCAATCGATGTGCCAGAGGTTTGCTGGAGGCAGGCGAGTGTGACGGATAAAGGGGAGGGGTGGGAGGAGGTGACAGAGCTGCCCACCACCGAGGGTCTTCCACCTGGGACCTGGGACCGGAGAGAGGGCAGAAGGAACAGGAAGGTCCTCCGCCTGAGGGGGGGGCTGAGCCAGTGGGGAATCCCAGCGCAGACACAGGCATTCGGGGCACCCTGCACTGGGCAGAAATGGCCCAGCACCCCAACTGCTGAGTCATTGGCTGGAGCCACCAGGGAGGACACAGCCTGGGCAGCACCACAGTCTCGGACGCTGAAGGCGCGACAGTCCCAGGCTGCCCTTGCAGAGAAATGCGTGCCACACTCCCGTGGAGGTACACATGGCACCTACCGCACGGCTAGGACCGAAGAGGAGGTCGGCACGGACGTCTGAGGATGCCTTCCGTGGAAACTGTGGTGTCAGACCCATCTGACTCCGCGTCCCGGTCTGCTTGATCCGCCTCTGCTTCCTGATGTGCAAAATGCAAATAATGACAGCACTTCCGTGGTGACAATGGAAGGGGCTCGCGGGGTAGTTCCGGGAGAATCCTGACGCGGTGCCCGGCAGGGAAGTGGCCGGTGAGCATCGTCACAGTCCCTGTGTCACTGATTTTGATTTTTTTAGGGAGAGAGAGATGGAAACATGGATGAAAGAGAACATCGACTGGCCGCCTCCTGCGCACCCCACCAGGGGTTTGCCCACAACCTGGGCATGTGCCCTGACCAGGAATCGAACCGGCGACCTCTTGGTGCAGGGGTTGATGCTCAACCATGGGCCACACCAGCTGGGCAGTTTTCCTTTTTAAAAGGCGGGTACTGCCCTGGCCGGTTTGGCTCAGCGGTTAGAGCGCTGGCCTGCGGTCCAGAGAGACCTGGGTTTGGTTCCCGCTAAGGGCACGTACCTCGGCTGCAGTTTGTCCCCGGCCCTGGTTGGGTCGTGCGGGTGGCAGCCACTCGATGTGTCCCTTTCACATCGATGTTTCTTTCTCTATCTCTCCCTCCCACTCTATCTGAATAAAAAATGAAAAATGTCCTCGGGTGAGGATAAAAAAATAAATAAAAATAAAATAAAATAAAATAAAATAAAAGGCGGGTAGTTGACATGTATCTCCCTCACAACAGAATTTCATTTATTTCCGTTCATTCTTTTTTTCCCCCAACATTATCTGGCTTTATTTCTTTAGTAGATTAGAAAAATTACGTAGTTAAGAGAAACTGATCCCTGGCCGCTTTGGCTCAACGGTTAGAGCAGCGGCCCACGGACCAGAGAGACCCGGGTTCGGTTCCCACTGAGGGCACGTACCTTAGTTGCGATTTTTCCCCGGCCCTAGTTGGTGTCGTATGGGTGGCAGCCAGTCAGTGTGTTCCTCTCACATCGATGTTTCTCTCCCTCTCTTCTTCCCTCTCTCCCTCCTGCTCTATCTGAAGATAAATGCAAAAATGTCCTCGGTGAGGATAAAAAGAGAGAGAGAGAAACTGAGTCCCGTGTGGGTCTCGTCAGTCCCTGTCGGTCAGCGGGGCGAGCAGCCCTCCCGGAGGTAAAGTGGGGAAGGCTCACTCACACCACTAGAAGGTAGTACTCTCATCAGTTTCCCTGAGCGACTGTTCTGCGTGTAAATACTGGCGGTTAAGTAATCGGCATTGAAAGGCGGCATGAGCTGAACTTGTCCATTGGGTTCCAGCGGTCAGTGCAATCCTGCGGGCCTCGTCTTTCTCAGACAGAACAGAGACAGACTCCTACGCGGACAGCAGACCGGCCGCTGTCAGAGGGGAGGGCTTGGGGTGGGAAAGGTGATGGTGAGGACCAGAGGGAAGGGGGTGGGGAGGTGGGAGAGGGGAAAGGGGGTGCATGGTGATGGAAGGAGACCTGATTCGGGGTGGTGAACACACAGTACGACACACAGATGGCATATTAGAGAACTGTGCACTGGAAACCTGTGTAGATTTATGAACCAGCGTCACCCCAGCTGGAACATCAGTCAGTCGATCAGGGAAGGTGGCAGTGGGCAGGCGGCTGACCTCTGGCAGTTTTTACAGCCTCATGGGGGAGCTTCTAGTCAAAAACAACATGGACACCTTGTTTTCTTTTCTTTAAACTAAACTGAGTTTCCGTTATAAAATCATCCTTGTAAAATGTTTGAAAACATACAGAGAAGCACTAGAAACAGCTGATATTTCCAGTCACGAACCCACAGTCCACGATGCTCTCGTCGGGTCCTGAGCAGGATTCTCTGACAGGCGCCAAACACCCGAGGCGGACAGAGCCCATTGGTGGGTCCTGATTCTAACAGGCCTGTGTGCAAAGGTGTGAAGTTGTGCGAGAGGATTCTCGTGGTTCTTGGACACTGCCCTACAGCGTGATCAGTCACGTGGCACAGTTGTCCCTTCCGTCCCCGCCGCCGCCTCTGGCACCCCGTCGTGTTATCAGTAACATCTCTCACTGTGCTAACACTTGCCCACTTCCCTCTTTAACAAAGGCTTGAAGTCATCAGCATCTCACGAGCGTTTTTGTTTTATTCATGGAATGGTTTTACAAGTACTTCTTTACAAGTACTTACAGTAAGGGTGTTTGTTTTACATTCACTAGAATGACGTTTTCTTTTAAAGGAGATTTATTTAAATAAGAAAGCAGTCAATTTAAAGAAAGATACCGAGTGACTACAGGTAGTTCGTGGACAGGTAAAGAATCGCATCGATGGTGAGCGTTGTCGAAGTCAATGGGAAATGCTCCATTGGACTAATTCCCCAAATAAGGCATGTTTTGCTGCGTCCTATAATTTTTAAATATGAAATAGCAAGTTCTCTTGGAACAGACAATAGTTATCATGCCAATTTCTTGAAACATCAGGAAGATCTGGAAGTCGGAAACCACGACAAAGTTCACAGGAACATCAGTGTCCAGAGGCACCGCCTTCTGCTGTTCTCCTACCCCAGGTCCATCTCCAGTGGGCCACCCTCGGCCAGGAACTTCCCCGCCTCCGGAAACCGAAGACACGGACGAATCTCATCACAACCAACTGGGACCGGGGAGAGGCTTGAAAAACTAAAATCTGCTCTTCTGAAAGAAGGCTTTTCTCAGCCTGCAGTAGACCGTCGACGGACTCTTAAAACGTTTGCGGGTCAAGTTTCAGGAGCTCTGGCTTCCCAACTACTGTTTCCTTCTCTGTCCGTTCATACGATTAAGCGTGCACGCAACTGGGCTCCAGCAGAAGGGGGCGCGATTCCGAGAAAGCAACACTTCTGAACGTGCTATGGTTTCTTAGCCATCGGAAGCTTCCAGAAAGCCCACCGTCCTTTCCAGGGACATGTTTGTGCCCAGGCAAGCATCGGTATGAGAAGAAGGTAAATAGCCCTGGCCAGTTTGGCTCAGCGGTTGCAGCGTCGGCCTGCGGACCAGAGAAGAAGATAAATAGAAACAGGTGGTCCACACGGACGCTCTCACTCGGAGAGAAAGCAGACTGCTAATGGAGAAAGAAACAAACGCAGTCACTACCCCACCCCACCCCCACCCCCAAATAGGCCTCTGATCCTGGAAGTCAGCTGGGCAGGGGGAAGCCTGGTCTGAAGAACCACGTCCGTCCGCCACTTTTTAGCTTCAGGCAAGTGACTGCCCCTCCCCGTGCTGAGAAAATGAGGGTCACCGTACTTCCCGCTCGGGGCTACATTAAGTGAGAAAATGTATACAAAGAGCCAAGGGCAAAAGATGTCTTGGTAAATGTCAGCCCCTTTCCCCTTGCCCTGGGTGTTTTCAAGGTGAAAATAAAGGCGGGCCTTGGAACTAGAGGTAGGGAACAGTTCTTCACCGGGAATCCCAGAGAAGAGTTGTGCGAGTCTACGGACACCCTGACACTAACTGGCAAAAATATTTTGCGGACGTTTATTTTTGAGGGAAGACGGTCCAGATCTGTCAAGTGAATCGCAACGTGGTCTGTAGACACCACCGTCCCGAAAAAGTTTAAGAATGGAGGCAGGAATGATCCAGACACGAGCTCCAAAGTTGGAGCCCCGCACACCGATACGATTGTGGCTTTGGATAGAATTGGGGTCATTGCTGTCTTATTTGGGGCCGGACAGGAAGAAACAGTGTTTGAACTTGGATGTGTTGGACCCCAGCCCGCTGACGTTCCGTAGAAGCATTTTAACCGAACTCAGCTTGGACGTGGTGAGCTTGGCCCCTATCGAGAGCTGATGTAAGAAGCAGTGTCTGGCTCTGGTCAAGGTCAGGACAAGGCAAGGACCCTGCTTATTACTAGTGCCTGCTTGCTGCCTGAGGACCTGGGACAATGTCTCTGGTCCTGCTACCAGAATTTTCCTGATCATCATTGGTTTCTACCCAACGGTGCCCATGTATGGCATGACCGATCACATTCCCCTCTTATCATCCGCTGCCAGGAAATGTCAAGATAAGCATATTACTTACTCACAGCCAAGACTGTGGTTTGTGTTTTCTGTGGTAACCCCTCTCCTGGCTGCATCTGGCTGTTTATTTTTGCTCTGTTGCATTGAAAAAGACATGACGTGATGATCTTGCTGTGTTGGAACCGGGCACACAGGAGCGACATCCGGGAGTTGCACCGGGAGGCTGTCGGCCTGGTGTCTGTAACGTTCTGACTCTTGCTTTTGTCTTTCTCTTCCCTTCAGTCAGTTAAAGAGGATTCAGTCCCCCCAGGTGCAGAGGAGAATGTAAGTGACATGTTACGTGACAGACCCATTCCATTCTCATCGTCTGCATGTTGGACTGTGGGCATCTCCGCTTTCGAGTCCTGGGCTCTTTGGTGCTCTCAGCGTTGTTCATCCACCGTAGACTCTTTCACCCCGTCACGGGATCAGGGACCCCTGGGGAATCACTTCGGGTGAATATTGGTGACGCCCATCGAATCAGTGCAGACGAAGTGCCAACTCAGAGCGCACACTGTTGATTGGTTATCCTTTAGGGGCTGAAAGAGTCTACTACACGTAAGAACATCTTTATACTTCCTTCCGGGACAAGGATGGGGCACCCTCTGCTTCTGCTCTGATCGCTTCCTTCGCCTTTCTTTGCATGACAACCCAGATTCTCTGCTAACTGTGGGTGGTGCCCAGGACAGGTAGTGCCCCGGCATGAGAGCATCTTGCTGCAGTAGATGCTGCAACTGTTGGTCTCGGGTCGGAGAGCCAGCTCCGTGGGTCTACACCTGAGAGGCAGCGGTTGAGCCCTGCTATCTTTTGGGCCTTTATCTTCAGCGATGGTCAACGTCTTCAAGATGGTGCACTCGTGTCTGGAGGAGCTGACACTATAGGAGACACCACAAACATGTATTTTCCCCAAGCACCTTCCAGAGAACGAATGAGTTGGCCTCACGCATTCCCGACCCAAACGGCGCTGTCTGCTCCGAAAGAAGGGGCAGTCTGGAAAGTGTCTCGAGTCGGGGATGCGCGAATCCACTCTGCTCCACATAGAAACTGACCCCCACCGTTTAGCAAGAGCGGAGTATTTTCCGCCCTTTCCAGGTGTCTGCGTATTTGCCCTGGAGAGTGCGTGCATCTCTGTTTTCATGTAGTTGCTGGACTGAGCAGATGTTGCAAATCCAGGTCTGGGCCAGGAATGTCGTCGACGATGTGGAGTAGAAATGAGAATGGCTACGTTCTCGTTCTTGTTAGGACGAGGATCTTTGAGATCTGCTGGTTAACTCTGGAGCACCAGTGAGCTTCTCGGTCCCGAGATTTTGCAGAGACGTTTCCTTTGGACGTCTGGGGGTGGTTGCGTGTCTGAGGCACCCCGGGTCGCTCGCACTCGCACGCTGCGATGCAGTGTGAATGTCTAACGGGAAGCATTCCGTTGTCCAGTGTGAAACTTAAAACAGAAATAGAAACGTGAATTAAATTTCTGACACCAAAGATAAACACAAAAGCTCATAAATGAAAGGCAGCAAAACATTTTCTCAAGGAAATGAAGGAGCAGTATACAAATGGCTTTAGATTGCTTAGCCCCGAAATAAGGTTTTTATTTTTAAGCTTCAGCATTTCATCTTCTAACAGCCTGTTAGCTAGAGGGAACGAGGCTAAAAGGTTGTGATCTTGGCGGCATCATCCCCAGGCTGTGCCACCTCTTGGGCCTCAGTTTACTCGTCTCTAAAATGGCCGTAATACTTTTACCGACCACTAAGGCTTCTTGTGAGAATTAAATGGATAATTCATGTAATGTCCGTACTTCCTGAAGTATAAGAAGAAGGAACTCAGTAATTCAGAGGTCGGCAAACTACAGCTCATGGACCAATGATAATATCTCATGACACTTGAAAATTATACGGGATTCTAATTTCAGGGTGTGCGAGTAAAGTTTTATTAGCAAACAGCCACACCCATTCCTTAACACATGGTCTACGGCTGGGTTTGTGCTACACCTGTAGAGTTGAGTGGTCCTGACAAAGCCCTTTGCAGGGAAAGGTGCTGCCCCCTACAGTCACCATTCCTGCATTGATGCTGTAACATTACGAATGAAGGTTCCCCAGTCATCAGTGATTATGTTTCCCCAAGAAAGTATACAGCTCACAGCTGACCAGTGCCCACATGGGGTGTAAACCAATTTCTTTCTCCCAAATAAAAGAGATGGTATTTGTCCAAACAATGTGTGGGACTCGAAACCTTCAAAACTGGACTGCTAGGTGTGCTTAACCATATCATGGACATGGGGTGGAGGATGTGATGCCTGGACCTGTGGCAGCTACTTTATATCCATGAGGTAGCAAATGAAAAGATGGAAATCCAGCATGCTAAGAATGGCAGAGCCAAGAGACAGAAAGAGCCCGGGTTCTTGGAGAAACTGTGGAGCCACTAGACCAATCCCAGAACTTCCAACGTCCAGACTTTTTGTTCTATGTCATTATTGATTAAGACACCATTAGATATTCCGTTACTGGTAGATAGCTTCATCCTCATTGAAATGGCTACTTACGTGTGTGTGACTTCGGCAGAGTCATTCCGTCCTTCAGATTCTTCATCTGTAGATAGAGATCATGTATCTGCTCCGAGCTGTCTCTGACACTGTTTAGAGGGAATATATTAAAACTACGTTGGACAATGACAGGTACAATATCAGGTAGTCGTGTCATCTCTGAAGGGTGCACGTGTGCACGGTGGGTATTCCAGGCAGTCCGTGTCCATGGAGTCAACAGCTCTCCGCCCAGTCACAAGCCACAGTGTTAACCAAGGGCTCCTGTGTGCCCGGCGCTGTTCTGGGAACTTGACATGCGTTGCCTGATCTGATTCTCAACACAACTTCCTGAGGTGTATGCTGTTCCCACCGAGAACGTACAGGCGCAGAGATGCTGCGTGGGGACCGCGGTTTCTCAGAGCCCCCGTGCAGGGTTGCGCCGAGGTTGGACCTGGGCAGGCTGTTGCTAGAAGCTGCGCAATCACCACGTCAGAGGCCTGCATTTCAGGCTGACCCCAGGGCTCTTGTGGCTGAAGCTTCTTTTACAGAAATGCCATTCAGTGCAATCAGGCCTGGACGTGGAAATCCACTCCACGTGGGCTGCACTCCAGCCTCTCACATGGCTCCCGTCTGAGCCTGGTTCCTAAGGGCCAGAGCCGGGTCCCGGACCCCACAGGGAAGCCGCCTCCTCCTCCTCTGGCTGGTCCAGCGGGGGCTCTCAGTTTTTGAATACCTTTAAATGGAGCAACATGTCTTCTGCTCATTAGACTGCTCGTCGCTCCTTTCTGCCTTCTACCTGCTCAGTCCATGCTCAGGTCACCTGCGGAAAGCCAGCTGCCTGGCTCCTGGGCACTTCTGAGTTGGTGGCTCCCCAGCCTAGATCTCTGTTTACAAAGCGAAGATGCTAGAGGTCGTGTCAACGTTTTAAGAAGCAAAAAGTAGGGAGAGACAGCTGTGATTTTACTCCCTTATTTCGGGGTCCTCCTGCCTGCTGATATGTTGAGGGACAGGCACCTTCCTGCTCCCGTGACAATAAGAGGTAAGGGTCCTTTGTAATTGGATCATATGGGTCCTTGGAGAACCAATGGTGTGTTTTTCTTTGAAGGACAGGAACGTGGTTCTCCACAAGCGTACTGTGCTTTGGAAGGAAAGAGGTTCCCTGCCCCTGCTCCCTGAACAAGATGCTGAGCAGGGGGCGGGGCACCAGGAAAGCCAGTTGAGAGAGTGCCCCCTCCGAGGCGGGCGGCAAGCTGTTGTGTCGGGGCCAGAGTCAGGATTTTAGACGTCGCAGACCACACACAGCCTCTGGTGGATGTTTTCCATCTCTTCACAAAATGTTTACAGCCCTTTAAGAACGTGAAATCCGCCCTGGCCAATTTGGCTCAGCGGTTAGAGCGTCGGCCTGCGGTCCGGAGAGACCCAGGTTCGGTTCCCACTAAGGGCGTGTACTTCGGTTGCAGTTTGTCCCCGGCCCTGGTTGGTCGTGCGGGTGGCAGCCACTCGATGTGTCCCTTCACGTCGATGTTTCTCTCTCTCTCTCTCCCTTCCTCTCTCTCCCTCCCACTCTATCTGTACAAAAAATGGAAAAATATCCTTGGGTGAGGATTAAAGAACGTGAAATCCATTCTTAGCTCGGAGGAACTGGGCCACTTAGCTCTGTCCTGTCGCAGGGACCGAAGCCAATGCAGAAACCGTCCCAGGCGTGGCTGGGGCCCCGCACGAAGGCAGTTGGGCCGTGCACGAGAACACCTGTGGGATCAAGTGAACTAGACCTCCAGGCTCAGCCCCCAGGGCTGGCCAGCCCTTCCCCCCACAGACGATCAGGGGACACTGAGTTCACTGGGCACCTTGCTGGGAGCCATAAGCAACTTAGCCAGACTTTTCATGACAAGTTCATTTCTCTCCTGGGACCATGAACTTCAGCTGAGCAAAAATGGCCAGTGACCGTCTGGGTCGGTGGGAGATGAGTGAACCGGGGCGTGGCGTCTGTCAATGGGGTGGCGTTGCCAGTACACTTTCCGCAGAGGAGACGGTTTCTCCTCAGTCACGGGGAAACAGGAGGGGGAATGAAAGTTGTCTCGGTCACCACCTCTCAAGTCAGACGCTTAAGGGACTGATCCCTCCTGATATGTACACAGGCCAGATGTGCTATACTTGATGGCAGAGCACAGGCGGGCCCTCCAGCGTGGAAGGGGTTTTGTGCGTGCGCGTGGGGCAGTCCCCAAAAGGGACTTCCTGTCCCAGCCTTGTACCTTCGTGGGGCGGGGATTTTGCCCCCAAGTCAGGCTATTTGGTGACCGTCCAGAACTTAGCTGTGAAACACCTCGTACGACATGAGTGTCCCCTTTGAAGATGTGCCTGTGTAGAAACGGTCATAGGCTCAGACCTGCAGCCACTAGGTGGACAGAGGGGCCCCGGACCCCGCTTTATGAAACATGTTTGGGGGGAGTGTTGTGGGGGTTTTTCACTGTGTTATTACCTGGCGAAATGATCCAGGTGGTGTGCGAGTCACCAGTAGAGGTTACAAAGTCCGAGGAAGCGGAGTCGGCCCTGCAGACAGTGGACCTCGGTGAAGAGGGGCCCACCCCCGAACCCGCTGAAGGAAGGCTCGGAAGAGAAGAACACAAGCCGCCGAGATCCTCCCTGATGGCGTTCCTCAGACAAATGGTAAGCCGCCCGGCTCGTGGGAGTCCGCACCCAGGTCACAGGGGCGGGATAGAACCGTAGGCGGTGCAGGTGGTGTAGACGGCACACGCGTGTGCGTGAGAGCTTGGGGTCCGATCGGAGAGAGAGTCTCCATTGATCGCTAATATTTCGTAACCTTTCGTTAACCTCAACTAACCCCTTTTGTAAACAGAGAAACAGCTGGCCTTGGGTTTCGGCAGGCAACAGTATCCACCTGGAAGTTAACAGTATTGTCTACTTTCCATTTCATCTCGAAGTGAAAACGGGTCCCTCCTGTTTATGGCGAACGATGCTGCTTTGCTTATTGCGGCAACCCTGGCCGGCTCCTTTGAAGCACACTCACTGACATCAAGCACGGGCGTTTTCAAACACTAGGGAATACATAGGCGTTACCTATTGATGTCGGAAAAATTGGGAAGGTGACACGTGAGCGCCACACACTGGGAGGGGGCTGACGTGCAGAGCATCCGAACAGGGAAGTGACCGCGTCGTTTTCCGAGAGTGAACGTTTGTAGCTTAGCTGGCTGTCGGCCAGCCCTGAGCTCACACAGCACGGACAGGATGCAGGCGGGCATCTCCGGGTGTCGACACTAAACATCCAAAGATCCAAGAACTGAACCAGAATGCACTAAAACCCAACTCAGCCGGAAGACAAAACACCAAAAATGCAAAATGTAAAAGGTCATTGGCTTAATTCTCTTTTAATGAAAGGAACCAGAGTTTCATTATCGCGTGCCTTTGATTTCGGGCGTATTTGGGAATGTAAGCCTTGAGGAAAGCAACCCTAATTTCCCAGGCCCAACCTGCTAAGGAATTCTTTCTAGTCCTGGAGACAAAACAAAGCAACACCCTTGCCGGTGGGAGTCAGGCACGTGAGAAATAACTCGGAGAAGTTGTTGGCAGGGATCATTTTCTTTCCTTTCTGGGTTCTCACGGAGGGAGATGCGTCGGGGAAGGAGGGGGCGGTCCGTGTGGCTGGATCCCCATCTATATTCCTGGCCAGTTACTCTGCGATTTGGCACTGAAAATGAGGATCCAGAGTTGAGATTTTTAAACCAATTTTTTACACGATGTCTAGGAAAGAAAAGAACATTTGGCCTGTTTCTAGCACCCCATCTACATTACAAATGGGATCCCCAAAGAGCTCATCAGAGCATTGAGTGTATTCCATTTTGCCTGTGTCTGAATGGAGCTGAGAGATATTCTTCCAAATAACTGTCTCTTCCAAATAACCAACATGATACTTCTTCATTTAAAAGAGAGAAAAATACAAGAGATGTCAAATAAAGCATGAAAGACATCTAAACCATTCACTCAAAACAAATCCTTACATTCTAGTGGTGTCCCACATTAAACTCATCCTCCAGACCTATCCATTGCTTAGTGATATACTGGGCAAATCTGAACTGTTAGGGGAACAAAAGTCCTCTGGAATTGATTTTCCCTAGGAGAGGGAGGGAGAAGAGAACCCCTTTTCCTGAAGTGGACTTCACTGGGGTCAGGTCTCACAATGTCCATAGTTCTTATTACCTATTGCCCAGTAAAAGGGTGGTGCCTGGGAGCCTGAATATTATTACTTTTATTTTTTTTATCCTCACCTGAGAACATTTTTCTATTTTTTGTTCAGATAGAGTGGGAGGGAGAGAGAGAGGGAGAGAGAGAGAGAGAAACATCGACGTGAAAGAAACACATTGAGTGGCTGCCACCCGCACGACCAACCAGGGCTGCAGACAAACTGCAACCGAGGTATGTGCCCTTAGCGGGAACTGAACCTGGGTCTCTCTGGACCGCAGGCCTACGCTCTAACCACTGAACCAAACCGGCCAGGGAGAACATTGTTCCTTTTAATGTTTAAACTCCAAAACTCCCATGAGGGTTGGGATTCCCCCTAAAATTCCAGATTATCTGAACGATCCTTGTCTTACATTTTGATTTGTTTTCATTACAACATTATATGACTCTTGTGGTTAATTCAAATCCACAGAAGACTTGGGTTTTCCAGTTTACCACAGTCCCCACCACTCCCTACCGTCACACCGTCACACCCAGCCCAGCTCCCTCATTCCTGTTCCTGGCCCTATCCGTGTAAGTATTTGAGTTTGCAGCCCCTGGTCTAGAGCCAGCTCGTTCTTTATAACAACTTCACTGAATCTCATTGTCTGGATCTATTATACTCTGATTGGCCATTGCTCTGTTGATGGACCACTGATTTGTTTCTGGCTTGTTACATGACGTTCATTCCTTTACTGAACAAATAACTGTTGAGCATCCGGTTTGTTCCAGGCACTAGGGATACAACAGTGAACATAAGTACACCTATTGTTCTTGGCCTGGTGGAGAATACAGCGGAATGAGGAAAGCTGAGGTTTGCTTTGAGTTCTGCTGCCTTCAGTGATCACGCACCATGGAGATCTCAGCCCCTCTGCTCATCTGCAGGAGAACCCGTGCCCCCTACTTCTAGGCATCTGTGTTAATATCCTCTTAGTGTGGACTCCTGGGAGTCCGGCGTCAGTGATTATTTTGAGGAAACACAGTTAGGTTACATGTCATGGCTCCCAAACAAATCTAAAGTCTTTGCATTTATGAAAGAAGAAAATAAAGAGAAAAAAAAAAATGCTCCAAGGCCTTGGAAACAAAGACAGTATCTTGTCTCTATTTTATTTTATTTTATTTTATTTTATTTTATTTTATTTTATTTTATTTTATTTTATTTTATTTTATTTTATTTTATTTCTTAGCAAAATAGAATGTTTCAACTGATTTTAGATATTGTCAAAAAGCATACTTTTTTCAAAGAATTGATTTGATAGAAGAGAAAACTCGGTTTCAAAGGCATCACCCTTATTCTGTTATCTGTACCTAGATCTCCTACCTTCTGGCCTTTGTCACCCCTCAGTTTCCTTCAGACAATGTAGTCACTGTCCCGTGACAAAGTAACTCTTGGCTGAGTTCTTAGTTTAATAAATGCATTGCCTGGTTCACTTCTAAAGAGAGCTTTTCCTTCTGAGAAATTAACCTCTTAAAAGTCAAAAGAGAAAGATCGTTTTTGTTTTTTTTTTTCAAATAACCTTATTTCAGGGAAAAGAAAAGAGTCACATACATCCTTACATTACAGGTAAATATAGCACTTCACAAAAAAACCCATGGGCTCCTACAGACTTTCAAAATAATTGCAAGGAACAGCTAAGACATCTGTCATGCCTTAAATCAAAAAGAGATTGTTCTATGCATTAATTGAATGGTATGTCAGGAGATAGGACAGTTAAAGCATTGGTATATTTTTGTAAAGTGAGTGGGTAGAGAACTGTATTCATGTACCCACAAACCAGGTAGGCAGATGAGGCCATGAAGGCAGTAGGGAGAAATAGAGACAGATTTTTCATTTGTCAGTGTTAATAACACCTTGTGCTTGAAAAGCGCTTTCTTCCTCCAAATTCGTGTCACATACATTGTCTCATTGAACCCTCCTCCAGTCCCCTTAAACCATTGTTTGGTAAGAAACTCTGTTAGAACATCACTCTCGGGCTTAGGGAAGAAAGACAGTGAACTTCAGTATTGGGCAAATTACAGGCCCAAATGAAGAGACAGCCACAAAATCAGAGTTGCTGTTTTTTTGTTTTCTTATCCTCACCCAAGGATATTTTTGCACTTATCTTCAGATAGAGTGGGAGGGAGAGAAGAAGGGGGAGAGAGAGAGAGAGAGAGAGAGAGAGAGAGAAACATTGATGTGAGAGGGACACATCAACTGGTTACTACCCACACAACCCCAGCTGGGGCCGGGGACAAACTGCAGTATGTGCCCTTAGCGGGAACTGAACCCGGGTCTCTCTGGTCCGCAGGCAGAGCTCTGACGGCTGAGCCAAACCAGCCAGGGCATAAAATCAGAGTTTTTCTTGTTGATTACACTCAATCTAATAAGTCTAAGAAAACCTGCTGAAATTTACTCGCTGGAGGGGAAAGAGGGCGGTTTGGAATGGTCATTCTAAATCAGAAAACCCAGCATTTTCTAGCCAAAGTTCTGGATCTCAAACTCTCCCCTGAGTGTGACATGTGAATCCTGAGCCGCTCTCGGAAAGGTGTCTGAAAACACCGTTTGTCTGGGCAAATTCTGTCTTCACCAGGACTTGAGTTCCTTTCCACCCTGAAGGGGATTCTGCACTTCTCGGTCATCATGACGATAGTAGCTACCGGTTACTGCGTGGAAACGGCATGGCCACGCTAGGCTAGTGAGCACGTGGCGGGTCTCAGCCCGTCCCTCACAGCAGACCCCGGGGAAGCAAGCGGTGCCTCCTGCCCCCTGTGCAGAGGGAGGGATGAAGACTCGGATGTAAGCGATTCGGCCAACGTCACGGAGCTGCTAAGTGGCGAAGCTCCCGTTCCTGTCGCCTCTAATGCTCGCCCTGGTGCTCTTGTCACTTCTGCTTCCTGCGCTCCTCCCGGGAGGGCCCGTGGAGACAGAAGAGCTGTAGCCCTGTTCTGGTGACTCTCCTGGTAATGTTTTCCAGGCAGACATCATTCTTATGTCTTGGGCTTCCCTGAAGCCCCCTCAGATTACACGCACTTGAAATCATAAGTCAACAAAGAGGAATTGACACATGACCTTCTGAAAGTACTTGTCACTCAATGAGATTGACCTCCGCTGCCTTCTCTATTTGGCTGTAATTTTGTCTGAACAGTTTGATTGCATTTCAAATGAGCATGTTGGTAAAACACAGTAGTCTGGATGCACAGCCTCAGTTTATCCTGGAAATTTCTAGCAGCTCGTGTTCCTTGGGTTTGTCATGGTGACGCTGAGCGCTCACACCAAGTCAAAGTGAAGTTCTTGTAAATCCTGGTTTGGGTTGGATTAGATCTCCATCGAAACACACTTCCACTCCTTTGAAGGAAATGTGAACTGACCGCCGAACATCTCCACGAGGAGTATGAATAGCTACGAGATCGATGTATTGGAGGTGGTCTGAACATGCCTCCAAGGATCAAGCTATAGGAATGTATGACAAAGCAAAAGAGATGGAAGATGACTCTGTGACTACGCAAGGCTTGGATGTCACAACCAGGTCCTGTGTCTGTGCCGCAGGATGGATGAGCGTGTGGACAGGCTCTCCCCTGGACACTCACAGACGAGAGTAGTCTCCATGAAGGAGGTGCTCAGTTCCACATGGAGAAGTCTCAGAATTGTGTTGCAGGGGTCAGCCTGTTCTTTAAGTCTTCCTCTCCGAAAGAATTGTAGTCTCTTTAAACAGGAACTCTGGCCCTGGCCTATTTGGCTCAGCGGTTAGAGCGTCGTTGTGTGGTCTGGACAGACCCAGGTACAGTTCCTGCTAAGGGCATGTACCTCAGTTGCAGTTTGTCCCAGCCCTGGTTGGAGTCGTGTGGGTGGCAACCACTCGATATGTCCCTTTCACATCGATGTTCCTCTCTCTCTCTCTCCCTCCCACTCTATCTGAACAAAATATCAAAAGATGTCCTCAGGTGAGGATAAAAAAAAACAACAACAACAGGAACTCTGCTATTTTTGACAGCTGGGAAAAAGAGGTTTCTGTGGTTATGGTCCTTTTAACAAAAAGCCAGACATGCACTACTCTAATTTGTCTCTGAAAGAGAGCTCTACCCAGAGGAAAGAAGGGAGATACAGAGAAAATGAAGGAGGGAGGGAAAAGAGAAGGAATTAAGGAGGAAGAAGGAAGGAAGGAAGGAAGGAAGGAAGGAAGGAAGGGAGGGAGGGAGGGAGGGAGGGAGGGAGGGAGGAGGGAGGGAGGATCAACAAATGTCACCAGTGAAAGGCTACCAATGGTTTATTGTTTATTCATCTATTAATTTTAATATTTCCTATTTTATTAAGATGTAATTGACATATACCATTGTACGAGTTCCAGGGGTATAGCATAAAGGTTTGACTTGCATAGACTGAAATTATTACCACAATACGTTTAGCTAACATTTGTCATCTCATACAAGTACAATAAAAAGGAATGGAGGAGAAGAGAAAAAAGATGTTTCTTCTTGTAACGAGAATTTTTAGGACTTACCATCTCAACAGTGTTTCTATAGATCATATGCAGAGGTAACTATAGTCATCTTGTTGTCCATTACATCCTAGTACTTGATCTTATCACAGGATGTTTGTACCATTGGACCGCCTGTGTGTTCATTGATTCTTCCGTTCAATACGTTCAGTCCTGGTTCCAACATTGCTATTTTCATCATCATTTATTCATCCCAGAATTACCTGACCCCAGAGTGTAAGATTTTTGTTGTTGTCATTTGAGAGGCCAACACACTTGAATTTAATTAGACTGTGTGTACAGACCACATGGAAATTGTGTATCTTGTAAGTAATCCATTTCCCCTGGTCTTCCATTTGTCTGGATCCAAGTCTCAACAACAAATGACTGTGGCCCCCCGGATCAGAACTTCCTTTGCGTTCTCTATTGTGCTATGCCTCCGGTAGCTGAAAGCCCACTGTCTGTTTGTTATTTCATTCAGTGAAAGGGGATGGAGGGGTCACCCATCCAGAAGAAATAAATGGGAAAGACTCCAGCTACCAAGTAAGTGCCTGTAGCCTCGGGTCGGTGGTGGGTTTAGCTGGCATGTTCTTGGTTCTTTCCAGCCTCATTGCCAGTGCAATCCTCAACCATGCCAACCCTTTTAAAAAGCATAGGCTAAGTGCCTACTGTCTATCAGGCCCTGAATTGGGCTTTGCAGATACAAGCATGAACAAGCCATAGTTCCCCAGCTGCCCCTTTATTGCAAAGCTCTTCTCCACATGGAAAATTCCTTCCTGTCCTTTCGGTCTTGGCCTAAATGTCACAGGGGACTTGATTCAACAGTATTTCCCGAGTGCCTCATCTGCACCCTGCACTAGGGTCCACGTGGTCTCTCAGGATCCCCTCTGGCGATGTTGAACCAGGATGACCAATTTCCCCGGGACTTTCCTGGTTTTGAACCTGAAAGTTCCATGTCCTATAACCTCCTCACTCCCAGGCAAGCCAAGATGATTGGCCCCTTTATGTTTGACCTTTCACATGGGCCTGGCTTGGTGTCAAACAGGCTCCCCTTGCCGGCTAGTTTAGTCCTCCCCACACAGTGGCGTCATGATGACTTTAATTACCCCCACACAGACGAGGAAGCTGAGAGATGGAACCATTCATTCCAGGCCACACAGCAAGGGTGTGATGGCACTTGAACCAGGTCCCTTTGACTTCAGACACTAAGCCCTTGGCTAGTCACTGTGTCTTAAATTCTTGCACACAGCAAAAACAGTTCATGAGCTGTTTGAATGGGGTCACAGGTTTCTGGCCTTGCTGGAGGCAGTGTGGTAGGAGTCCCTAGCTCACTGGAAGGCAGGTATCTGCTCGGGGCTCTCTGTTGTACTCAGACTTCTGTTTCTTAACATTTGCCACAACCGAGGCAGCTCGGATCCGGCAGGAATGTTGAAGATGGGTGGCTGCAGAACAGCTTCTCGGGTGCACTGGATGTCTGACGCTGCTTTCTTGAGAGATTCTGCCCTCCAGGGGGATGCAGAGACCCCCAGATGGAATCTCCCCTGTCTTCTCACTTCTTTCCAAGGGGTATGCTTCGTCCACGGGGGTCAGTGACAGCTCTCTGGTTGCTGCCTCCTCAACCCAACTGCCTTTGTCATAGACTCTCTGGACCTGGGGACAGTACATGACTTTATGAGTCAGAGATTGCAAACATCTATCTGGTAGGTCAAATGTGGCCCACACAGGTACTGGTGCTGTGGTGGTTAGCTGTGAACAGGGCTTTCAAACATGAGAATCCAATATTTCAAAACAGACATATTTCACCATTAAAAATTCAATTTTAAGTTTCTATTGAAAAACCAGATCTGACAATGCTGGGCTGTAACCCTGCATAGCATCTCTCAGCTGGGTCTGAGTAGCTATTTGGACAGGGCATGTGACATTCAGTCCTCCACAGTTCCCCCTGCTCCAGGTTAGCTCCCTATCACAGACAGCATTGCTGGAACTGGTGTTTTTCTTTTTCTTTTTTCTTTTTTTTTTTCTTTTTTGATTTTAGAGAGGAAGGGAGAGGGAGAGAGAGAGAGAATCATCGATGAGAGAACATTGATTGGCTGCCTCCTGCATGCCCCCCACTGGGGATCGAGCCCACAACCTGGGCATGTGCCCTGACTGGGAATCCAACCAGCGACCTCTTGGTGCATGGGTCGACACTTAACCAGTAAGCCACACCAGCCAGACTGGTGTTTTTCTTTTCACACTAGAGAAAAACAGAGTGTCCAAAAAAAAATGTATACAGAGTGTCTATAGATTCTGTTACATTTTGAAAATGAAGTGTATTTTAATAAACACTAGTTTTATAATTATTCAAAGTTGTGGGAACATTTTGGGGGAACAACCTCATTTCCTTGGCCCTATGTTGGTTCCACAACTGGGGGAATAAGGTCTCCATAAAATTTTTCTTCCCTGTAGCCTCGGTCATGGCTTATGTGATCTATCTGGCACCCATAGGCCTTTCAGCCCAAGTAAACTGTGGGGAAAAGGCTTTTACTTCCTAGTAGATTTTTTTTTGTTATCTGTAATTTACCCAGCATTTTCTAGAATTTTGGATTTTACAGCCTCATCCCTTTAAATTGTAGAAACCAAGTAGGATTGTAAACACTTCATTTTAGCCTGAAAGGATGTAAGTTCAAAAATAGAAATAAAACAATCATCTTCATCACTGTTTTATGAAGCAAGGGGACAATTTCAGAAATCAAGATAGACATACAGAAAAGAAAAGGTATCCCCCAAAAAGAGTTGCATGCAGTTACAAGTGCAGAAACTCTCTCAAAATTGGTGTAAGCATGGGAGGCCTTCAGGAACAGCTAGATCCAGGAGCACACACAATGCCATCAGCATGTGAGCACACACACTCTCTCTCTCTCCATCTCTCAGCTCTTTTTCTCTCTCTTCATTTCTCAGCTCTCTCTCTCTCTCTCTCTTTCTCTCTCATCTCTCAGCTTTCCTCTCTGTTAGATAACTTTTCTAGCAGATTTTTCTAGGAAATGGTGGTGATTCTGGAAGCTCTAGATTTTTATCTTTAAGCCCAACAGAAAGGAGCAGGTCGGTCTCTCTCTCTTGTTTTAGCAAAGCTCTGAGATTAGCTCTGTTTTTGTGTTTGGCCATCTGAACCAATCACAGCAGCCCAATCACATGCGGTGTTCTGAGTCACGTGCCCTTATCCAGCAGGGTAATTAGTTTAGCTAAACCCCAAGGAATAGACGAGAGAGAAGAGTGGTTCCCCAAGGAAAACCCAGGTTCTACCAGAAGGAAGAAGAATGCTGGCTGGGAAAGCATGAGATTCATGAATTATTCGATGAATAAATAAATGTTCCCTACCATGACCTCGTACCATAATAAGTATTAGCACATTTTTCTTTTTCTTTTTCCTTCATTTCACCCAGGACCCGTGAAAACATAGATACCACCCAACCCTTGAACATCTCTGTTTTAACATGTTTATTGAGAGTTGCTTTGCAGCCGCTGAGATGCATTCTGTCTGAACTCGCTGTAGACACCGGACCCCGCGGAGAAGGCCAGCACGCCGCGCGAGCCAGCAGGAGCAAGCCACAGGGGCAAGGAGGGCTCCTCAAAGGACAGGAAGGCCACGGCCGAGGTCAACAAGCCGCGGAGCGACAAGCAGGAAGCCAAAGAGCCCGCCCCGTGCCCGTGTGCAGAGCCCGCTGCGGGGCAGGCCGGAGCACCACAGAACGGGGACAGGCCCCACAAGAGACCCGCGAAGCGGCGGCAGTCCCTCGGGGGCTTCTTCAAGGGCCTGGTAGGTGGATCTTTCAGCCTTTCTTTCTGGGCTCTCGGGCCAGGGGTGTGCTTCCCGCCTCCAGAGGGGACCGGTCGGGTAGAGGCTGGCCGGACGTTTGTCAAACAGTATTGAGCACTGCTGTGTGCCAGGCGCCGGGCGGGCACGGGGGCAGGGTGGACACAGGCCTTGCTGTCGGGGCAGGATGGGTGGGGCAGGGGTGCTGAGTCTGGGAACAGCTAGGAGGCGGAAGGCAGGCGTCCAAGGAGAGCCTGCGGGTGAGGACGGTGGCCTGGCCTTGGGTCTGAGGGCAGCGTCAGGGAGGGCTTTTCAGAGGAAACGTGGGATCTCAAATTAGCCTGTGGATGGAGAGGACAAGGGGAGGTCTGAAGGCAGAAGGAAGGTGTGCTAGGGAGGCAGCAGAGAACTGAAGTCAGTGTGGCTGGAAGAGAGGACGCGAGGATGGGAGATGGCAGGGACAGGGAAGAGCCAGACGCATCGATGTCTCTCTGTGGCCAAAGGGAGTCTTGAAGAATTTAAACCAGGGAAATTACTTTAAGCCTGACCCCGGACAGGGTGCACAGAGGTGACTAGTGCTTAGCTCCTTCCTTCCAGGGAAGCCCAGTCAGGGGTGAGTGGAGGCCAGACATTAAATAATTAGTCAACCTGTTCTGTTCTTTGTTTCTATTTGGTTCTTTGATTCCTTCCCTAGACTATTGGCTATGGGAAGACAATGACCATAACTGTCATGGGCAAATGTGCTACCTCCCCAGTGTGGTGGCTAATACATAATAGACGCTTCATAAATGTTTGCTGGAAGGATGGATGCATGGGTAGATGGATAGAAGACTGGATGGATGGATGGATGGATGGATGCATGCATGGATGGATACATGGATGGATGCATGGACAGCTAGATAGGGGTACTAGGAAATATTTCATTGTATTTGAGAATGTAAATCCTGGCAAACGAGGAGTGTCTGAAGGATCATTACTCAGATGACAAGATAATCTAGCATAAACTAGAAAAAGAAACAAGTAAAATCAGACCTAGGATGCAGGGAAAAGTGGGTTGAGCCAGGAGGGCAAGGCAAGGAAATAACACTGACACCAGTCATAAGGCCATGAACTGGGGTTAACCTTCATGCTGTAATAAAGATGGGCATTTACGTGAAGCCCACCACCCTCCACCTACCTCGTCATTCATCCTTATTCCATCCTGTGAGTATCTGTATGTAGTGGTGGCCTCTAACAGGTGGAAGGAGGTGAGGGCAATGCTCCCCCGGCCCAGGTTTGGTCTTCAGAACAGCATCTCTGGAGATCCTATTGGAAATGAGGAATCTCAGACCCCACTGTAAAGTTGTCTGACTGATGTCATCACATTCCTATCCAGTCTCTGTGTCCTCGAGTATGTGTGTAGAACCTCAGTCTGAGACAGTGTTAACAGTCACAATGTGAAGCCATTTGAGGATATACTCCACGAGAAACCCTCGCATAGAGCTGAGTCCCCAGCGCCTTAGGGGAAGGCCCTCCTCCAATTTCAAGGAGGTGATGAAGAAGGGAGAGTGACCATCAAAAGGGGAAGATGGATAAAGACTGATCACGCCCTGGCTAGTTTGGGTCAGCAGTTAGAGCATCATCCTGTGAATCAAAGAGTCGGGTTCGATTCCAGTCAAGGGCACGTACCTTGGTTGGGTTCGTTCTCGGCCCCAACTAGGATTATGTGGGAGGCAACCAATCAATGTGTCTCTCTCACATCGATGTTTTTCTCCCTCTCTGTCTCTCATTCCCCCACCCCACCCCCCACTCTATCTGAAGATAAAGAAAAAAAACCTTTGGGTGAGTATTTTAAAAAAAAAAGACTGATCATCTTTTAGGTAGTTTTGTTGGAGTGTTTGCCTCCACGCTCAGCTCTAGCTCCTTGCAGAATACGAACCCTAATCAGACTTGTCTCAGTAATTTCCAAACCTACTGTGGATTTTATTTGCCCAGAGTTCTGGTCGAATCATGACCTGCCAAGCTGCAGCACACCTGGTGGTGTGTAGTGTGGGGAGGGTTGTATTCCAGAAAGGTCCGGAGCTCATAGCCCCAGCGTCTCTTTCTTGGTGGTTCTTGGTTTCTTTTGCCAGAGGCCCATAAGGTTTTCTCTGCATGTCTCCTTACCTATGAAATCCTGGATCTAACGGGATGGGTCTAACCAGTGGTTCCAAACCAGGGGTGATTTTCTACACAGGGGACATTTGGCAGTGTCCAGAGACAACTTTGATGATCACGACTGAGTGTAGGTACTCTTGGGACATTGTGGGTAGGGACCAAGGATGTTGCTAAATGTCCTACGAGGTACATGAGAGTCCCTTTCAAAGAAGAGATATCAATAAAGTCAAGGCTGGACCAGGGGTTTGCAAATGCAACCTGTGGGCCAAGTCGGCCCAACACTTGCTTTTATAAATAAAGTTTTATTGGGACACGACCAGGTACATTCATTTACATATTGTCTGTGGCAACTTACTAAAACAGCAGCCTAGCCCTGGCTGATTTTGCTCAGTGGTTAGAGTGTCAGCCTGTGGACCAAAGAGTCGGAGGTTCGATTCTGCTCAAGGGCACATACCTCAGTTGCAGTTCAGTGTTCAGCCCTGGTCAGGGTCGTGTGGGGAGCAACCAATTGATGTGTCTCTCTCACATCGATGTTTCTCTCTCTCTCTGTCTCTCTCTCTTTCCCCCTCCAATTCTGTCTGAAAATAAATGGAAAAAATATCCTCAGGTAAGAGGAAAAAAAAAACAACAGTAGCCTGAGTCCAGGCCCTAGAAACCAATGAGCATGTTGCTGGATTTTCAACCAGCTCTGCCACATAGTGGCGATGTGACCTTGGACAAGTCACCTTTCTAAATTCAGGTACCCTATCAGTGGGCTAAAAATGCTGATGTCACAGGGTCAGCCTGAAGAGGAAATGAGATGGTGTGGCGTGTCCTTAGCACAAACTGGCTCGTTGTGATTGGTCAGGAAGGGATAAGTGCTTCGTGCGTATCATTTAGTCAGCCCATTGCCAGGTCATAGAGGTGCAGGGATGAGTAAGATGCTCGTTGTTTGAGGAGCTGGCCATCTAATCCCAGCGTCAGGTATTTACAATGCAATGCAAACCAGGTGGGTGAAAATCGCCTCGAATCGGGAACTAGCTCAGGGTTCAGGCACATGGGAGACAGAAGCCGGGGCCACCACACTAGCGGAGATCTCACTGTAGTGACTTACACTCGCTGAGCTTCCTCCTTGGCTGAGTGAGTGACATCAGTCAACCTCGTAGGGTGCTGTGAGGACAGGTGTGATCACTGCCCTAAGACCCGCCACTCCGACTAGTGATGCAACAGGCTCACGGGGCAAAGGATGCAGCAGAGCTCACAAAACTGGGGAGGGATGAGACAGTCCTCAAACCCAGCTGTGGCTGCACCTGAGCCCAGGCTTTCACTGTACCATGTTGTACTGGTCAAGACTAACAGCATATCACATGTAGTAGGTGCTCGGGACACAAGCACACTGTGCTATGTGCCATCCTATCCTACCGAGATGTCTACTCTGCTGAACTACACATGACATGGTAGTATGGGTACATGCTGGACTGTACGCCCTTCACCACAGTGATTCTGCTACCCTACCCACACTGCATATTACATGCACTCTACAGGGCTGGGCAGAAGTAGGTTTACAGTTGTGAGTACGCCAAACACAGAATTGATCCTTTTTTTTTTATGTTTTTATTTTTTTAGAGAGAGAGATAGAAACATGGATGTGAGAAACATTGATCGGCTGCCTCCTGCACGCCCCCTACTGGGGATCAGGCCCGTGACCCGGGCACGTGCCCTGACCGGAAATCGCACTGGGACCTCTCAGTCCCTGGGACAACGTTCAATCCACTGAGTCACACCGGCTGGGACAGAACTTATTCTTGTATTACTATTCATTAACTCTTGTATTTTCCATAAAACAACTGTAAACCTACTTCTGCCCATCCCTATACATACTAGACTATACTACACCATGCTACCCTGTATATAGTATCTATGCTGTGTAATATATACTATGGTGTACTACACTGGACTATATCTACTCTATACTGTGCTATATTACCATGCTGGATTTCTATATATGTGCATATAACATACTATTCGATATACACAATCCTGTAGTATACTATCATATGCTACATTATACTACACGGCACTATCTATATGTACCAGTATACTACTCTGTACTATATGTACTTCACTGTATGTGCTATCTGCACTATATACATGCTTTACTGTATGTATATACCACCCCATAGTATACTCTACTACTCTACACCATATTTACTGTGCTGTAAAATGGGGCCAACAATAATAGTACCCCTGAAACAGGCAGCAAGCTGGGTAAACCTCACATCCATTATGCAGCATGAAGAAGCTAGACTCGAAAGCTCTATACTCCGTGATTCCATTGCTATGGCACCCTGAAAGAGGCAGAAGTCCTTGCCAGCATCTGGGGCTTGGGGGAGGGGTTGCCTCCAAAGGCATCTAGGGGGGTTTTGGAAGGAACCGAACTGCTCCGTGTTTTGATTGTGGTGGTAGCTCCATGACTATTTGTGTTGGTCAAAGATCACAGAAATGCACACACGAAAGAGGGTGAATTTTATTGTAGGTAAATTATACTTGATGGAAAAGGTTAAATAATAATGACGACAGTAATAATAGTGCTTGACTCACAGAGTTTATCCAACCACATTCAGTTCATACTGACTGTGTGCCAGACACGTGCTGCGCACCGAGGGCACAGCAGACAGAGCGTCATTTCACAGGGGGTGTGTTTTGTAAGAAAAGGAAACGGGCAGTGTGGCTAGGGAGCGATTGGAGAGGCTACGGATGTGAGCTGTAACCGGAGGGTTTTCTACGCCCGGAGCTCTTCCTGGTGCAAGTCACTCACTATCTTAGAACAGTCCTCTGAGAGGAGTCGTATCACCCTCCTTCTAAAGATGAAGAAACTGGTCCTGGCCAGGTAGCTCAGTTGGTTGGAGCATTGTCCCAATATGCCAAGGTTGTGGGTTCGATCCCTACTCAAGGCACAAACAGGAATCAACCGATGAATGCATAAATAAGTGGAACGACAAATTGAGGCTTCTCGCTCTCTAGAAAAAAAAAGAAACCTCCTGAAGCACAATGAGTTATTTGTCCAAGACATCACAGAGCTAGAAAGGAATGTAACTGGGCATTGAACTTGGGCATCTGATGGGAGACTATTATCCACCACTGGCAAGGAAGGTGTATTTATTGAGCACAGCACTTGGCACAGAGCACAGCACTTGGCACTGCTGAATAAATGGCAGTTGTTGCTATTTATATTACTGATCTTCACTAGGAAATACTTCTTTATATTTTTCTCCAGGGACCAAAGCGGATGTTGGATGCTCAAGTGCAGACAGACCCCGTAGCCATTGGCCCAGTTGGCAAATCCAAGTAAACAAATCGCCACAGTTTCCACCAAGTCCTCCTGCCACCAAGATGCTTCCTCCCTGTCCGTCTCCTCCCCAAAGCCACTCCATGTATATATATATTTTTTCTTCTGATGGCCATCAATGAAATTCTGCCTACAAACCAAGCCTGAGCTGTTATATGTTGAGATGTATTATTTATGTCTCTGGTTTGATCTTTCCTGGTACATAACTATAAGGATGGTTTAGCAGGTGAACGAGGCAGGTCAGAAGAGCCGGTGGTGGGGTGGAGGAATGCATTCTGATTAAGTTCTGGAAAAGGGCACCAGCACGTAAATTGCAGGAAAGAAATGGCTGCCCTAAGCTTTGTGGTAAACACAGGCTCATCTGGGGGGAGATGAGAATTCGTTCAAGTTCATGTTTCAAGGAGGGAGGACATAGGCTCTGTACTGGGAGGTTGCCAATTTCCTGGAACAGAATGTGTGGGGAAGGAAAAAGAATGAATACGAGCTGTTTTTCAAATAGGGTCCTTGAAAGTTATTGATGAGAGGGGCAAATTGACTGGAGAGGGCTTGAAATGATTTGGGTAAACAATTGCGTTTTTTGAGGCTCAGTGACAAGGGCGAGACGATTACAACTTTTAAACACACACACACACACACCAAAACAAATAAATGCAAGTTTATTTTGCAACACAAGGGGGCGCTTGGGGCTCCATTTTAATCCTGCGTCCTGTGTCCCTAACAGAGATGTGGTGTTCGAGATCTTATATTATTAATGTTTCTCAGACAGCTGAGGGGCTTGCTGCATCTGTTCTGTCTGGAGCTTATCTCAAGTCTGTCTGTAATTTCCTAATGTTCTCGGGATGTGCTCTGATAAAACCCTCCCCATAACCCCAGTTAATAAAAATTCACAGAAGAGTATTCAAATACCTGAGTTTTCTTTAATACTTGTACAGAGAAGTAAATAGGACCATGAGTCTATTAAAATGTAATTCAAAAGTAGCATATGAATGACTGATATCATGTACTGTATCTTTCTTTCTCTGATTTAATAAAAAAAATACATTGACATCTAAAGCATCTTTTAATTTTCCACTTTTAAAGCAGGTCTCTCATATCCTGTGTCTGAGATGCCTTTATCTTCCCCAGTTTAAAAAAAAAATTATGCTCTTGCCTCCTCTCCCAGATCCCCCTAGATTTCCTTGTCTGTGGGGGCACACCGGGGTACACCGTGTGCACGTGTACATTTGCATACACACACGCACCTAGATAAAAGCACTGTCTTGGGCCAGGCTGGCTAGACCAGAGCCTGAGACAGGGATTCATTCCCATGCATGTGAAATACCAGGGAGGCCTCCCAGCTGAAAGGAAGAGAACAGGGCTGGGAAGGAGCTGAGCAGAGGGCTCAGCTGGAGTTGAGTTGCACTATCCCCAGGGGGCGCTGCAGCAGGAACCGCACCACACAGCTGGTGCTACCCTGAGCCAAGGGGCGCCTCTGAATCCTTGTCGGTGAGTCATGGGCCACCCTGCGAGGTGGTGCTACTTCCATTGCACTGAGAAGCTGGGATCCCTTAGCAGCTAAGACAGGGACCAGTACAAATACATACATATACATTCACATGCATACATATAAGCATAGATGCACGTGTTCATACATATAAACATACACCACATATAAATAAATGTGCACACATATAAACATAAATGCACACAGGAATAAATAGGTGCACACATTCATAGTCACACACATACAAATGGATGCATATAACAGATCCACCCACACACGGGCGCATACAAATCCATCACAGGTGTGATCCATCACACGTGACGGGAAATAATTGAATCTCTTCTCCCAAGTCTGCACCGCAAAACCATGGCTTTGGCTAAGAGGCATGTGGAAAATGTATTTGGGAGAAGAAACATGAAAACGGTCTCTCTAAAACACCAGATTAGGGGGCCCTTTGCTGCCGGGGCCTGCTGGATGCTAGGTTTCCCATAAAGACCAGAGGTGTTGCCCTTGCCGCTGAGTTAGCCTCTTCGGACCTCCTGCCCAGCCCTGGAGATCACTGGTGTCTGTGACTCACCCAGTGAAGAATGATCTCATGGCACTTCATGTCTGAAATGCTTAACCTGACACAAATCAGGAGTAAACCCCTTGGGAAAGCCCTTGGGGAGGGTAATGTGCCCTCAACTTTGACATCACAGAGCAAGGGAAGGGTCACGGGAGCCAGGCAGCTGGTTAGCCCTTTGTCCCCACACACTGGGCTGTCGCGGGGCCACACCAGTCCGCTGAGAAAGGAGACAGTGTCCTCTGCGAGTTTAACCTCACTGGACACTGGGGCTTTTGGCCCTCCTGAGAAATCCCCCTTGGGGACCTGAGTCATAGTGCAGAGGGAACCCTCCCATCTGCTATCTCCCCAGGAAAAAACGAAAACTTTTTTTAAAGAGAGGTACTTTGCTGAGAATTTCCCTGCTAAGTGTGCCAACAGTTTCTGTAACTGGTTTCCCATCCTCCTGGCCAAGGAGAGCAATCTGTTAATGAAATTAGTTGTTTGGTTTCTTTGTTTGCTTTTTGTTTTTATTTTTTTAAGGCATGAGCTGACTTACATGGGGGATTCTAAATCGAGTTATAGCCTAAGAAGCAAGTTCAACTCCATCTCTGAGTTTTGCATGGCTTTTGTTTTATGAGGTTTGCGGGGGTGGAGAGATTTTTTGTGGTTTTTTTTTTTTAGTCGAGAGCCTATTCCTGAGCATTTACAGTAAATACACGTCTGTGCCTTGTGCTGAACTAGAGTGAACACGAACAGAACCCCCAGGTGAGCTCAGGAAAGCCCTCGAGACAGGACTCAGAGAGGGACTAATGTTCCTCAAAATATATGACTGGCACAGCCAAGCATTCTAATCCCCGCCCCGGACAGAAAGAGGAAGGAAGACCTGGGGGAAGGGGCAGAGGTGCCTTCCTGAAGCGCGTGCTCTCTTGACTTCTTCACTCATTTACTTGTAGGTGCGCAGGGAAGTGTGTCTTCTGCCTCTCAAGGAGCAGTGGCCTTTCCTAAGAACTGAGCAATGGAGCTGAGAAGCCACCACTGGGAAAACAAAAAGCCGAAACACTCCGCTTGCCAGGTCCAGCGACAGTGACTTTTTGACTGACGTCCATATGAGAACCCGTTCCAATGCACGGGTCTTCTCAGCAGCCCTTAGGTCCCTCATGAAGTCATCAGTTTGGGGGAAAGGACACATACCACCCCCCAAAAAATGCCCAAAAGGGAGGGGAAAGAGAAAGAAAGTGAAGCTCTTGTGTTTTTTGTGGTCAACCCCTAACCCCGGCTCTTTAAACCAAGTGCGGGGGTGCGGGGGGTAAACACACGTGCACATTGTAGCTAATGGTCCTTGTTTGTCTGCAAACAGCCCAGATTTCAGGTAGATGCCCAGAGGCGTCCTTCTCAAAGAGCCTGGAAGGGGGCAGATTTCTACCCCTGGGAGCTGAGATGTCATTTCTTATGTCAGACAGTACCAAGTTGCTCTGCAGCTTTAAAAATGCAATGGGCTAGCCCCCCACCACCACCACCCACCCCCACCTTAAAGGGGAGGAAGGTGATTTCATTCTTAACTTACCCAAGGAGCAAATGCAGAGAATCCCCTTTGCAGAAAGGTAAGCTGCTGAGGGATGGTTTTAACCCTCCTCCCACGGCCCTGGGTGAAGCCTTTTTAAAAGGAACTCCCAAGGGGAGTAGAATCCGGCTCCTCTGTGGTCTAGATCTCCTTCTGGAGTGAAAATGAAGAGGACTGGCCCCTGCAAAGAGCGAGCTCCATTAGGAAGAAAAGAAATTACTTCCTGAGCAACGAATTCGGTCCATTTGTAATTCAGAATTCAGATCCTTAGCACTGGCTGAACACCAGTGCGGTGCGTCAGAACCCAGTCCTTCGAATAAATTGGTTTTCTGGGGAGTTTAACCCTTTCGCCCCTGTTTTCCTTCCCCAGAGAGCTATTCGCTGGAGCCTCTCCGTCTCCTAGTTACCCCTGGGAGACCCATGCAATTCCACCGAAGTAAGGGAAATACTAACAATACCGTAGGCATCACACGTCACAGCTTTAGAATGTCTTAAATGCATTATCTAATGTAGAGCTGTGTGCCCCCAACTGAACTTAATTGCTGCCTGTGTTGCGTTTCATTCCGAGGGGAATGGCCTGCACCTGTATGGCTCCCCTCCCCCTCCAGAGAATCACTTTTTGACAAAATGGCTGCATTTCTGACAGTGCCAGCCACGAAGGAGCACAGACATGGACTCTCCAGGGGACGATTTCGTTTCCATCTGGCCACAAGGGGGAGTGCAGGACTGGGGCTCTTTCCTGATTCCCCAAACCGGAGGTTGGGCAGAAGCAGCGCTCAAGGGTGTGTTTGTTGATTGACTTCTAGAAAGCTGTCAAGTTTACTGAAGAGCAAGGGGGCCGAACCGGGCATGCTCCATCTCCCGCCCGCTCACAGCAACTCCACCACGCAGGCACTGGTGTCCTGTTGTTCAGGAAGGGAACTGAGAGGTTGGGTCCCTGGCCCTCAAGCTGAGTGTGGAGATGTGGGAGGCAAGGCTGGTAAGGATGACTTCATGGCTTTGCAAGGACACCAGCTTAAAAGTTTGCAATCACGCTATACGTCCTTAAGCTTCATCCCAGACGGAGCTGAAAGAAATGGGAAGACAAACTAGCCAACTCGATCTTTGTGTGGGGTGGGCTGGGAATCACAGGAGACCTGGGCATAGGAGATTCTCAATAAATACCGGCTGACTGGATAGATTGATAGATCAATAGACTATGGCCACATCCACTGGGAATTGAGTTGATTTCAGCTCCAAGGGTTTGGTCTTTCTAATCAGACATCCACCCTCCACAGGTGGACAGCCCAGTTATTAACATGTGGTCCCATAATGACCAGCATCACCTGAGAATCAGGTAACAATGCAAATGATTGGGCCCACTCTAGACCCACTAGATAAAAAAAACTATGGGGGTGGGACCCAGGTGGTTCTGAGCATGAGAAAATGGGAAAACCACCGATCAGGGTGGAGCTACCACTTACTGAACATCAACTTAAAAAGAAAAGAAAATAAACCAGCCCTGAAGATGCAACAATCACAGCAAACATGGGACCTGAGTCTGTGCCAGGTCGAAACGT